GAAATCTAAAATAAACTGTGGATGTAATGAGCCACCTTAGAGTATTTAATACACATAACACATGTTCTGAGGTTGATATCAATATTGCCTGATTGCATGGTAGCGGCGTACGAGTGTGGCAAGCTGAATTTGTTGTGCATTAAGATTTTTTTTTAATAATCTCTTTGCAATAGTCCTATTCAGCTTTAATGTGGATTAATTTCATGTAGCAACTGTTTTCTTTTTATTCCTTATCAATACTACGTTGTTTGACACCTTTTTAGCTCACCTGAGCCGAAGGCTCAAGTGAGCTTTTCTGATCAAAATTTGTCCGTTGTCTGTTGTCGTCGTTGTCATAAACTTTTCACATTTTAATTTTCTTCTCAAGAACCACTGGGCCAGTTTTAACCAAACTTCCCACAAAGTATTCTTAGGTGAAAGGGATTCAGGTTTGTTAAAGTGAAGGGCCACACTCTCTTCCAAGGGGAGAAAATTATGAATTAGTGAAAAATTAATGGCATTTTTAAATAATCTTCTCAAGAACCACTGGGCCAAGAAAGATGAAACTCATGTGAAAGCATCCTCAGGTAGTGTAGATTCAGGTTTCTTCAAATCATGACCCCCGGGGATAGGGTGGGGCCACAATGGCCGATCAAAATTTTACATAAGAATATATAGGGAAAATGTTTAAAAATCTTCTTCTCAAGAACCACTTGGCCAGGAAAGATGAAACCCATGTGGAATCATCCTCATGTAATGTAGATTCAAATTTGTCCAAATCATGACCCCTGGGGGTAGGGTGAGGCTACAATGGCCGATCAGAGTTTTACATAGGAGTATATAGGGAAAATGTTTAAAAATCTCCTTCTCAAGAACCACTGGGCCAGGAAAGATGAAACTCATGTGGAATCATCCTCATGTAATGTAGATTCAAATTTTTTTCAAATCATGACCCCGGAGGGCCGGTAGGGTGGGCCCACAATGGCCGATCAAAGTTTTACATAGGAAAAAATGGGAAAAATCTTTAAAAATCTTCTTTTCAAGAACCACTGGGCCAAGAAAGATGAAACTCATGTGGAATCATTCTCACGTAGTGTAGATTCAGATTTGTTCAAATCATGACCCCCGGGGGTAGGGTGGGGCCAAAATGGTTGGTCAAATTTTACATAGGACTAGATAGGGAAATCTTCTAAAATCGTTTTCTCAAATACTTCAAAGCCGTGGTTAATGATATTTATACTAGTCAAAATTTCTAAGTTCCAAGGCAAGTTTTTGCTTTACACCGCTCTTATATTTAATTATTTTAACAGTATGATTTAATAAGTATACAAGATAAAAACGTAGCAATACAATTTTTTCTCACTTAATTTATTTTATTGAAGCACTTTAACACAATATGCAGAAATGTTAAGGCACCCTAGAATTAAAAATTCACAACGTAAGACATTGCGTTATCCACCATTTAACCGAATTCACAGCAAGACAACCGTTCCTCAAAGAGTTAACTCTATTTAAGAAAAATTCTTTTATTGAATGTTCTTCCATGTGGTGACTAGGTCATCCTCTAGTTCCGCTAGATGCTGCTGCTGGAAAAGCTGTCTCAAACTCCGGTTTATCTTCTTCCATATATGTTAGTTAGGGTTGAGATTAGGATGACAAGGGGGCTTACCGAAAGTGCCTGGGCCTTGCTAACAAGAATTACATAATATCTTATTACATGTGTACCCCTCCTCCAGTTTGACATTGAGGGGAGGGCACTTCCGGTCCCGGTTCCATTGATTTTTCCGGGAAAACTCTAGGATGATTTTGTTGTGTTTGTTGAAAATTTAGCGATTTCTAATGATAAGAAGGAATTCAGGTATGCTTTGTAGGTTTTTCGGGTGATAAGTATAAAGGTTTTAAGTAAAATAAAGTCATACAGTGAAAGGAAACAGAATTGTCGTCAACTGTGACCAGCTTGAGCCATTTCAACTTCACTTTCACATTCTTGTGTAGACATTCACCGCATTTTAATCAAACTTTTTTTTCTGTTTTTCTTTATCATTTAAAGATGGAGAACACATGGTAGTAAAAAATATGAAGAATACACCCGAAAAACATATGGAATTCGAACTTCATGCTTTTTAACAAAAACGTTCACGGTCGAGTAATTACACATTCGATTAAATTTTTTTTGGCCTTGACAGGTTAAGTATTGCAAGTTAAAGGCAAAATTGTTAGCAAAGAGTACATTGATGTTAAGGTTTTGAATTTTTTGAAAAAATAAAAGTGGGGACTTAGAAATTTGGACAAGTATATATGGAATCATCCTCAGGTAGTGTAGATTCTAGTTTCAGTTGTTCACATCATAACCCCCAGGGATTGGGTGTGGCCGCAACTGGGGATCCAAGTTTAACATTAAAATATATTTTAAAAAATCTCCTTCTCAAGAATAGCAAAGCCATGATTAGTGATACTAGTATTTATATGGAAGCATTTTCGGATGGTGTAGAAAAAAAAAAGAAAAATCCCAAGAACAGAAAAGCTTTGTTTAGTCATATTGACATGTAAGCATCCTCATGCAGTGGAGATTTAAATTATTCAAATCATGGCCCTTTGGGGTAGGGTCGGAAACAATGGGGAATCAAATTCAAAGTATTATGAAGTTATATATAGGAAGAAAATGTTTTTAAAAAATCTTTTTATCAAGAAAAGCAAAGCCATATGCTGTATTTATATGAATGCATTCTCAAGTAGTATTTAAAATTCAAGCCCCCCCCCCCCCCCTTCAGTAAACTTCAGTTCTGATCTGATTTGTGCTTTATCTTAGCCGATTTGCTCAGGTGAGCGATGTGACCCCTGGGCCTCTTGTTTAACTAACTAGAGGGATATTAACTTTTTTCATAACATTTATAGAATATCGAACCCGAATCCGTTTTCACATTTTGTTAGCTCACCTGAGCCGAAGGCTCAAATGAGCTTTTCTGATCAAAATTTGTCCGTTGTCTGTCGTCGTCGTTGTCGTCGTTAACTTTTCACATTTTCGACTTCTTCTTAAGAACCACTGGGCCAATTTCAATCAAACTTGGCACAAAGTGTCCTTAGGTGAAGGGTATTTAAGTTTGTTCAAATAAAGGGTCACGCCCTCTTCCAAGGGGAGATAATTATGAATTAGTGAAAAATTAATGGCATTTTTAAAAAATCTTCTTCTCAAGAACCACTGAGCCAGGAAAGATGAAACTCATGTGGAATCATTCTCATGTAATGTAGATTCAAATTTGTTCAAATCATGACCTCCGGGGGTAGGGTAGGGCCACAATGGCCGATCAAAATTTTACATAGGAATATATAGGGAAAATGTTTAAAAACCTTCTTCTCAAGAGCCACTGGACCAGGAAAGATGAAACTCATGTGGAAGCATCCTCCGATAGTGTAGATTCAAGTTTGTTCAAATCATGACCCCTGGGGTTAGGGTGGGGCCACAATGGCTGATCAAAGTTTTACATAGGAGTATATAGGGAAAATCTTTAAAAATCTTCTTCTCAAGAAACCGTTCACGGTAGCTCAGTCGGTAGAGCGCTCGCTCCGTGATCGGGAGGTCCTGAGTTCGTATCTCGGCCGCGACTGACCTAAGTCGATAAAAAATGGGTAGCAACTGTTCCTTCGCCATGCGCTCGGCACTTTGAAGTGAAAGTTGCGGGTCCTTCGGATGAGACCTTAAAAACCGAGGCCCCGTGTCAGCGGCAGCCGTTGGCACGATAAAGATCCCTCACTGCTCAATGGCCCTGAGTGCCGAGTAAAGGTCAAAATTTGAAGCCCTTCACCGGCATACGGTGACGTCTCCATATGAGTGAGAAATTCTCGAGAGGGACGTTAAACAATATACAATCAATCAATCTTCTCAAGAACCACTGGGCCAGGAAAGATGAAACTCATGTGGAAGCATCCTCACGTAGTGTTAGATTCAAGTTTGTTCAAATCGTGACCCCTGGGGGTAGGGTGGGGCCACAATGGCTGATCAAAGTTTTACATAGGAATACATAGGAAAAATCTTTATAAAAATCGTCTTCTCAAGTACTTTAAAGCAATGACTGGTGATAGTATAGGAAGAAAATGTTTTTAAAAAATCTATTTATCAAGAACAGCAAAGTCATATGCTTTAATATAAAGGCATACTAAAGTGGTATTAAATTCAAGCTGCCCCCTCCCCTTAGGTAAACTTTTCAGTTCTGATCTGATTTGTATTTTTCCTAGACGATTTGCTCAGGTAAACGATATGGCCCCCGGGCCTCTTGTTTTCGATACACACAGTACCAACCAGACACAACCTGACACCATAGCAGTCACAGAAAACAGTCTCTGGGATTCTAAACTTCCAAGTCCCGTGGGGATCCGGGTTAGAATAGGTCCTCAGTAACCCTTGCTTGTCGTAAAAGGCGACTAAATGTAGCGGTCCTTCGGATGAGACTGTATAAACCGAGGCCCCGTGTCACAGCAGGTGTGGCACGATAAAGATCCTTCCCTGCTCAAAGGATGTAAGTGCCGAAAATAGGCCTAAATTTGCAGCCCTTCACCGGCAATGGTGACGTCTCCATATCAGTGAAATATTCTGGAGAGGGACGTTAAACAGTACACAATCAATCAATCAATCTAAACTTCCAATGTTTTTATACTAGAAAATTATAAACTAGACATAAATTTAACACTTTCTGTCAGTCACATTGAATTTTCAGGGAAAAACCTTGGTTCAGAATGTTTGTACCAAGTATGCAGGTATGCGCTTCCAATTATTATCCGTTTAAAAGTCATATCTCAGAAACGACTGAACAGAGAGCAAGATGGATAGACAGACAGGCAGATAAGGTTAATACTATATACTTAACCCCCCCCAAAAAAAAAAAAAACAAACAAACAAACAAAAACAAAATACAAAAAACAAAAAACAGTCGTTATCATGGGTATAAAATATGAAACCCAATAAAGAGGTTACTCATTATAATTATGTCATTATTACATGAAATTATTCAGATGAAGCCACTTACATTTTGTCCTAATATGAAGTCATCATTAGATCTACAGTCTCTTACAGGATGGTGAGTACACAGATGGTTTTTGATGCACCAAGTACAGTTGAAACTGCTTAAAGTACATTTATAGCATCTGTAATAAACAAAATCAAAAGTATTGAATCCTTGAAGATCTTGTATGCACTGAAGTCCAATTTCATTTTATACTTCAATATTTACATTCAGTGTGATTTTCCTTATGAAATTCATTAGAAATCCACGACGTTCAAATTACTATAACACACGCAAAACCTTGTCACCGCGCGTTAGAATACATAGTAGGAACTATATGCAATTTCAATACTCTAGGAACACCAAAATGTAAAATATTTTACTTCAATTTAATGGAAAACTATAACCCTGAAAAATTAACGTAAAAATTAACTTAACGTGCGTTAAGAATTAATTTGTCACTTTTTTCCTCGCAATGTTTGTTTGCGTAAGTTAACTTTGCAACGTCATTTAACGTCATTTGACGTCACAAACGGCTCTTACATCTATTAACCACGGCAGTTTTGAAAGGCGCTAAATTCACATTAAAGATTAACGAAATAAGCAATTATGAAGAACAAAATTAGAGAATGTAAATGTAAGCATTGAATTAATATTTTTGGATGTCTTCGGTCCTATAACACACCTGGCCGTGCCGAAAATTATCACACCGCGCTAACGCGCGGTATTCAATTTGTCGGCACGGCCAGGTATGTTATAGGACCGAAGCCATCCAAAAATATTAATTCAATGCTTAAGTGATATACAGCTCAACGCACTTTTTAAGCTCACATGGTTTTTCGCACAAATTAAGGTCACATTGTTGTAATAAAAATTACCATTTTCGAACTGCAGTACAATGACATACCCCTACGTTATATTACATATATAATGTTCAAGCATATATGTCTTTTGGTTTTGAACATATTTTATTGTATAATTTATACAAAGGGATTGTTTGCAAGTTCTTGCAACTTAAAAAAAACCTCTCCCCGAGATGTCTTTTAAATTTATTATCTTAAGTTTCCAAAGTGGATGTTTTTATGGGGAATGTATACGTATATGGTACGATGTTTCGACTATACGATTCTACCATAGGTTTTAACAAATTGTATAAAACGAGCGTTCCTTGATACCATGTAATTGAAATTTTTAATTTTTCTTCTTAAAGGTGAGTAGTTTTTAAAATTCTTAGTTCGTTTACCTTACTCCTCTTGGTTTTGTCGAAATGTAGCACTGAAAAAGGATAACATCGCAGAAGAAAACCACACTAAAGGGTAGGATAATGAAGTATTGTTTATTTTTTAAATAGTAAATTCCTTCTATGAAAAGGAAAATTTCTCTGCATTTACGGTGTGAAAGGTTTGAATTTTGCAGTGGGATGAATCTCTCATGATTCTAGATTTTAGAAGTTGACTGAAAAATCCAACCTTATCAACACACAAAGCGGTCAAACAGATGAAAAATACTATTATCACCCCGAGCTAAGGAGTCAAAATGTACAGAAAATACAAGTTACTGTATCTAAACTGTGTCCATGTCTACGTTTCTGCCAAGAGCTATTGCTTTCAAAAGAATGGATAAAAAGACAGCTGCAATTGGTAAGAAACCCCACAAAATGCAAATGAGAATAGTTGTTATTTTTTAGCCATGAAAATATCAAAGTTCTACCAATTGATATGTGTGAATTATGTTTAAGTAAATGAAATAAAACTCAAATAATGTAAACAAATACTTTTAAAATGTATTTTGATGCCTCGATACACAATATTACATCATAACAATGTGACCTTAATTTGTGCAAAAACCCACGTGAACTTAAAAAGTGCGTTGATCTGTATTTACTACAAGAGGTATCTGAGAATTATATCAGCATAGTTTTTTCACCAAACAGGCAAAACAGGAGAGGAACCTAGACCCAAATTTAAGTGGCAAGAAGTTCACAATTTTGCAGCTTTTGTGTATTATCAAAATTTACAGATTGTTGCATGCTCAGGATAAGAAATTATTTCAGATAATTTTTCAGTGTTTCACACAGAACGACTGAGAGATACAGTTGACTTAATGATACAGGTAAGTGAATGATACAGGTGACTGAATGATACAGGTGACTGCGTGATACATGAGTGATACAGGTGACTGTGTGATACAGGAGTGATACAGTAGTGATACAGGTGACTGAGTGATACAGGAGTGATACAGGTGACTGTGAGATACAGGAGTGAAACAGATGACTGAGTGATACAGGTGACTGTGTGATACAGGTGTGATACAGTAGTGATACAGTAGTGATACAGATGACTGAGTAATACAGGAGTGATACAGTAGTAATAAGGTGACTGAGTGATACAGGTGACTGAGTGATACAGGAGTGATACAGATGACTGAGTGATACAGGAGTGATACAGGTGACTAAGTGATACAGGAGTGATACAGGTGACTGAGTGATACAGGAGTGATACAGGTGACTGAGTGATACAGGAATGATACAGTAGTGATACAGGTGACTGAGTGATACAGGTGACTGAGTGATACAGGAGTGATACAGATGACTGAGTGATACAGGAGTGATACAGATGACTGAGTGATACAGGTGACTGAGTGATACAGGAGTGATACAGGTGACTAAGTGATACAGGAGTGATACAGGTGACTGAGTGATACAGGTGACTGTGTGATACAGGAGTGATACAGGTGACTAAGTGATACAGGAGTGATACAGGTGACTGAGTGATACAGGAGTGATACAGGTGACTGAGTGATACAGGAGTGATACAGGTGACTGAATGATACAGGAGTGATACAGATGACTGAGTGATACAGTAGTGACACATGTGACTGAGTGATACAGTAGTGATACATGTGACTGAGTGATACAGTAGTGATACAGGTGACTAAGTGATACAGGTGACTGCGTGATACAGGAGTGTTACAGATGACTGAGTAATACAGGAGTGATACAGATGACTGAGTGATACAGGTGTCTGAGTGATACAGGAGTGATACAGGTGACTGAGTGATACAGGAGTGATACAGGTGACTGTGAGATACAGGAGTGATACAGGTGACTGAGTGATACAGGAGTGATACAGTAGTGATACAAGTGACAGTGATACAGGTGACTGAGTGATACAGGAGTGATACAGATGACTGAGTGATACAGGAGTGATAAAGATGACTGCATGAGTGGTACAGGAGTGATGCAGGTGACTGAGTGATACAGGTGACTGAGTGCTACAAGTGGCTGAGTGATACAGGAGTGATACAGGTGACTGAGTGATACAGGAGTGATAGAGGTGACTGAGTGATACAGGAGTGATATAAGTGGCTGAGTGATACAGGAGTGATACAGGTGACTGTGTGATACAGGAGTGATACAGGTGACTGAGTGATACAGTAGTGATACAGATGACTGAGTGATACAGGAGTGATACAGGTGACTGTGTGATACAGGAGTGATACAGGTGACTGAGTGATACAGGAGTGATACAGGTGACTGAGTGATACAGGAGTGATACAGTAGTGATACAGGTGACTGAGTAATACAGGAGTGATACAGGTGACTGAGTAATACAGGAGTGATACAGATTACTGTGTGATAAAGGAGTGATACAGATGACTGAGTGATACAGGAATGATACAGATGACTGAGTCATACAGGAGTGATACAGGTGACTGAGTGATACAGGAGTGATACAGGTGACTGAGTGATACAGGTGACTGAGTGATACAAGTGACTGAGTAATACAGTAGTGATACATGTGACTGAGTGATACAGTAGTGATACATGTGACTGAGTGATACAGTAGTGATACAGGTGACTGAAAGACACAGATGATAGAGTGATACAGTTAATAAGTGAATCAGGTAACTCAGTGACACAAGTGAGTGAATTATCATATTCAGATCCGTGAATCAATGTACACGTGATCCTGCTTAGGAAATTTGTTTTTCTATATAAGGAAATTTTTAATTAAGACAGTCAAATGAATACAATTGGAAAAGCTCCCTCAATTTTTTTGTTTTTGTTAAGGTAAGCAAAAAAGTGTGTGTTCAATAATGCTTCACTCTAGGAAAGAAGTTGTTTGAAATAACACATTCTTTGTGTACAAACTTACGAGTGTTTGGTGTGTACTTCACAATCAAAAAATGTGAAGTTGGTGGACACAAATTTTACTTCCGTGATTATGACAGACAGCCTCATTGTAATGTAATCTATAAAACAAGGGAAAAAGCAAAATGCTAAAATCTGATCGCAATCCTGTAAAGTTATTAATATCTTCTAAGAAACACATCGTTTCATTCATGGGTATTCTGCATAGATGTTATTTTACTTTGAAAACAGCATGTGGTTTACAATATTAAATTTACCGGTAAAAGTTATCTGATTCAATATTCAGTCTGAGTCATTCTCCAATAAATTATGATTTCATTATCAGTAAATTATCATTAAATTATCAGTAATCAGGACGGATATAGCTGATTGTGATCAATTCTATGAACCAAGCCATTTTGTAACAAATACATTTTGCATGTATATGAGCTTTCCTTATGCTCCAAAGAGTGTAAATTCTTTTGTCAACTTGTGTAATATGTCAAACTAGTTCTAAAAGAATACAAATGCAAATGCAACTCTTGTCAAGAAAGTGCAATTGACAGATAAAAACACCATCAAAACATCCTACAGCCAAGCTATATTATTGAAAGTTTATAGTCGGCAGAGGTAAAATTCAATTTCTCGGGATTCCATCCAGAAAATAAATAATTTATAAAGCTTTGCATTACCTACATTAAGTCACACAATATTGACATCTGCTTTTAATGTAATTTGACTATAATAGCTATTCAGACTTCATACCATACCTGTTCCATTTGGAAATGGAGGCAATTCGTTGGGCATTGGAGTGTCGCATTTCACAACATTAACACTACTCCTGGTCGCGACAGTCTCTATCTTATTGTCATAGCCTTCAAATGCACACTTGTACGATCCATTGTAGGTAAGCAGGTTGGAAATTCTTAATGTAAGCTAAAAAATATAATAAGGAAGATAAGGTCTTTCGAAAAAATTATGTATATACTCGTTATTTCAATTTTAAAGTATACAAAATTATCCTGGAGGCATTTATTTGTACACGTATATTTGAATTTTTTTCATATTACTTTTAAAATTTTTATTTTGGCAGATAAAATATGTACCCTCACATAATGTTTCTCATTTTACATCATTCTGCAGACAACTTACGCTGGTGGTTTTTGTCATATTGTTGTCTTTTTGAATTTTGTCAGGGTAAACTTGTATAATTTTTGTACACGTCTCCCCATCGTAGACCATCCATTTCAAGGGAGAATTGAATTCCAAACAGTCCTCTGCTAATGTACATCTGAAAGTTAAAAAATGAAATAAGAATCATTTTATTTCATAAGGACTCAATTTATTCATCTGAGGTAATCAATTTCTGTTACTTGTAATGTTTGAATTATTTCATTACATGCAAGTACAATGAATGGTAGTTGTTAGATCATACTATATAAGGTGTTAGCCAGACGTGAAGTGGTCATCGACGAGCAATCAAACAGTTTCGAACACGCATTTTCTGTATTACTTATGGCTGAGACAAATTCTAGCCACATGGGAAAGGAGCGGGCTATTCATGTTTTGTCTCAAAAGAACGACCCCGTTTTATACAGAGTTATAGATATGATTTTTACTTGAACAAGCATTGAACATTTTCACTATGCAAAGCAAGATGTACTCTTATTATTCCTAGATGGCAGTCTGCACCTTTCTGGCAGACAGTGTCTTTGCTGAACCTCAGTTTCAGAGTTATGTTATTGTACTTTACATATATTGTTTTGATTTTTTGAAGTTTGCAATTTAATTAAGATGTATAGTAATAGACAATGATGAAAACGTGAAAGACGATTTGTAACGTGAAAGACGATTTGTTTCAGAAAGCTTAAACAACAAACTTGATGCTACAACTGTACTTTAATTTCTTTAGTAGGTTAATACATTCATAATCTTTGTTGTCGAGCTAGTTGATAGGTGCTCAACACATTCTATACCTGTTTTCTGTTATTTATTCTCTTAAACACTTAGAATAGAAATATTTTATGTTCGTATGAGTAAACGAAAGAGAATATAAATCAATTTCTATTAGTTGTAAATTGTTTGAACTATTCCAGTACTTTCAATTACAATGAAAGGTTGTTGTAAGGTTAAAGCATATAAGGTGTTGGTCAGGCGTGAAGTGGTCATCGACGAGCAATCAACCAGTTTCGAAATCGCTTTTTTCAAATTTAAATTTATAAACTTAATGATCAATGCTTTCTCTTTCCAAAATAAGATGATAAGACATACTCCAAGAATAAGTATTAATTCTTAATTTCATTTGTAAAAATGAAGTCACTTAATAAATCTTACTTGTTAGCTAACGAGCACCATCCACAGTACGGGTCCTTAGCTCCCCTACATTCCTCACAAGTTGTGTACTGATTGCAGCTCTGGGCCACTAGCTTCAGTAACTGTAAGGTGAATTTCCATTATATATAGAGTGATTAACACTGAATGTTATACTGAACACAAAGGCAATAGGTCACTACAACAAGAGGCTAAATTGGGCCAAATCGCTCACCTGAGCAATGTGGCGAGGAAAACAGCAGAAATCAGTTTATTATTGAAAAGTTTAAACCCAATAGTGGTCCCAACCAATCCTTAAAAGGAAGAGGGTATGATTTGAACAAACTTGAGTCTACACTACTAACTAAGGATGCTTGCATATTTCTTTGACTACCTGTGGCTTTATTGCCCTTTACATTTGAACTTACATTGTGGCCATGCCCTACCCCAGGGGTCCTGACTTGAACAAAATTGATTCTACACTACCTGAGAGTGCTTCCATATGAACAGGACTATATAATCATCGCTTTGCTATTCTTGAAAAGAAAATCTTTAAAGAATTTTTACTACATGTTTCTATATAAAACTTGGATTCCATGTTGCAGCCCAACCCTAGCCGCAGGGTTCATGATTTGAACAAAATTGAATGTCCACTACCTGAGGATGCTTACATCTAATATGATCATTCATGCATTTACTATTCTTGAGAAAAAGATTTTTAAAGAATTTTCCTATATATGTCTATGTAAAACTTTGATCGGCCATTGAAGCCCTGCCCTACACCCAGGGGTCATGATTTGAACAAACTTGAATCTCCACTACCTGAGGACTTCCATAAAAATATTATCATTCATGCCTATGCTATTCCAGAGAAGATTTTTAAAAATTTTATTTCTCTTTATATTTCTATGTAAAACTTTGATTGGCCATTGTGGCCCAACCCTACCCCCACGGGTCATGATTTGAACAAACTTGAATCTACACTACCTGAGGATGCTTCCATATCAATATGATCATTCATGTCTTTGCTTTTTTTTGAAAAGAAGATTTTAAAGAAATTTTCCTATTTATTTCTATGTAAAACTTGGATCGGGCATTGTGTCCCGCCCTACACTCGGGGTTCATGATTTGAGCAAAGTTGAATATAAACTATCTGAGGATGCTTCCGTATAAGTTTCATCTTTCCTGGCACAGTGGTTCTTGAGAAGAAGATTTTTAAAACATACATTCAAATTCTCACTATTTCTGAATTATTTCCCCTTGTATAAAGGCGTGGCCCTTCATTTGAACAAATTTGAATCCCCTTTACTTAAGGATACTTTGTGCCAAGTGTGGTTGAAATTGGCCCACAATATTCTGACGTCAAACCTTGACGCCGTTGTCCTGCCATCTCCGCTAGCCAAGGGTTTCCGATTCGAAATCTACTCTACAACCCTTGGCAGAGTTTGCTGAAAATTTTAGAACTCGTGCAAACGAATTTGATTGGCTGCGAAGTCCGAGTCTACGCAAGGTTTTTACTAATCGACGATTTTCGGCTGAATTAAAGTCTGTTCGTGTTTTATGCAAAATAAGAGTAATATTTACAAGGGATGAATGTTAGGACGGGATCTATGCTTAAAAAACAAGGGATTAATTTATTTGAATTTTTTTTCTTTTTATTATATGTGTTTCCAAGAATTATTGAAAGACCACATTAGTCCGTGTTTCACATTTTAGGTGCATCAATTTAAGGCAATCAAATGTCACGGCTCATTAATAATAATTGATACTGCAACAAGTAGAAAGTGGTGTCAAACTCTTGACTAAAAATCCACGAAGAACGATATTTTCTACCACTTTTGAGGTGTGCCCACTGCCCACAGCTGTATGAAGTTGTTTGGATATATTCCACATCAAACTGCATGGAGGTCGCCATATTGTTTCAAACGTCATATTGATCTTCGTATGTTACAGCTATCTTCATTGGACAAATATTAAAGAGCTTCAAGGAACTTAACTCAACTAGTGCTAATTGTAACGGGGACCGTTACAGATGTTCCCCAAACGCTCCCCAACTCCCTTTTGGTGCCATATTCCCTGTAAGCTTCATTAAATAGGACAAAATCTATGCATTTTTGACTTTAACAACGCCAAGTTCATTCAAATTTTAGCATTGCACGTGTGCGCATGTGATTGCATGTGCGTAATGACCATATCATCTTGTTTAAACAATCTATATATTTTGATATACTAAATACATGTATTAATGTATTTAATCCAAAAGTATAAAAAAAAACCCTCATTCAAGTGTATTTTTTATTTTACCCGTTTCACGTGCACGCACGTGCATACATGAGCATGGTGACTATACCTTCTTGTAGATGTCCGTTACATCTATCTATGTTCTAAATCCCACCCCGTTTGGTTGAAAACCAAGGGAGTTATAGCTGTTTAAAGTTTCAGCCAATCAGATTGCAGTGCACATACATGCACGTGTATGCATGTGTATGGTGACCATATTTTCTTGTAGCAGACCAGTATATCTATCTATGTTCCAAATCCCATCCTGTTTGGTTGAAAATCAAAGGAGTTATAGCTATTTAAATTTTAAGCCAATCAGATTGCAGCGCACGTGCATGCACGTGTTTTCATGATAATTGCTATATATCATGTTGTAGGATATTCTAATGCATGGCTATTTTCAAAATTTCAAAGGATTTCGTCAAAAAACAAGAAAGATATAGAGACTTTAGTTTCAGCCAATCAGAGCAAAGTGCACGTGCATGCACGTGAGATCTTGCTCTTTTGACCATGTCATATTGTCTATGCTACTAATATATCCTTATGTTATAAGTTTCAAAGCATTTCATCGAAAATTTAAAAAGTTACGCCTATATCAATTAAATCGGTCATTTCACATGTTGCACGTGCACGCTCTTGCAAGCACGTGCGCGCAAAATGACCTTTGTTCCGCAAATCTACATAACATGTCTACTGACCCTAAAAACATTTCACCTTAGTCGGATGTATAGTTTACGAGATCATTCCCGGACAAAAAAGTACCCAGGAAGAAGAAGAAGAAGAAGAAGAAAAATAATAATAATAAGAAACAGAGTAAAAACAATATGTTCCCCAACTTCGTTTGGGGAACATAATTACGGCGATAGGCGGCGCAATCAAAGTTCCCGTTTGATAGGACTAAATCTGCCAAGGGTTGTAGAGTAGATTTCGGATCGGAAACCCTTGGCTAGCGAAGATGTTGGCCTGCATTCAAAACCCATCATTTCTATATTCGTTCTCAAATAAAATTTTATTGATTTTGCTTATTGTTTGCACCTTCCAGAGATATTAGGATTAGTCCTCGCACATCACTAGATTGATTAGGGTTAGTCCTTGCATTGCACAACCCGAGAGATTTAGGGATTGACGTTAGTCCTCGCACACTAGTCGAGTGATTGGGGTTAGTTTTGCATCCACCCAAAATATCTAGGTTATATACGAACAATGACCCCCAAGAATTAAAAATGATTCCATAGTATTGTATAATGAGAACAGTGCTCCTTTAAAAAAAAATATTTAATTGAATAAATTACTAATTATCAGTTTACCTTCTTTGTTGTCAAAACAAAGAGATGTCTCTTATTATCATCGAAAAACATGTCCTTAAGAATCTGTGATCCTGATTCAACTACCATATCTTTGTACTCCTTAGCATAATTACCAGAGTCGATTACAATCTACAAAAAAATTACACTGTCAGATAAGATATTCAATTGTTTGAAGCTCATTTCTGATACATGGCCTGGCCTGCCAACGTCCTTTTACATATCAAAGATATTAGTCAATTTGATGTTCAACATATCTTGTTTTTCTTCATACTTTTGGATAAACACCGTGTTCTAGACTTCCTCAGAATATATAGCAGTGTTACAAAGCGCTTTGAAAAATACGCACTTTGAAAAAAATTCAAAGTGCGTTAATTTTGGGGCCACGTTAACAAATTTGAAAACATTCTTTATCAAAGTGCATTAATATCGACCATATTAACGTACTTTGAAAAGAATGTGCAAGGCTTGGTTAATATTAATTTTAGGTACATTTGCACGACAAACAATTATTGAATCCTTTTTTAAAGTAAGATGAGCTGCAACTTTGATGTCGGAATTTTTTGTTGCGAAATTGAAAATAACTATTTCAATGACAGAAAAAGTAACTTTAATACATTTCTGTTGTTTATATTTGCGATCATGGTAGAAATATTTATAAGTTATCACTGAATCAAAACTACATCATTGTCGTCCTGTACAATAATGATTTATTGTATAAAACTTTATATTGGATTGTACATAGAAGTCTCTCTTCTGCTTTATTTTAGTCTAATTGATCATAAAGATTAAAGTTACATACAAATTTATCATAGTATCACATTTTAAAACAGCAAAATAAAAGTTTTCAAAAATGCAGCTCATATTGCTTTAATGATGATCAATGATGATGCACACCAGGATCTGAAATATAGACGTCTAAAGATTTTTAGGAGTTGTTTTCTTCCCATCAGTTCTCGTAAAATTTTTAAAAGGGGAATGAGTCTTTTAGACATGATTGTTTAATAGCATAATTTGATTCCTTTTTAATTTTAATCAAGTCTGTAATAAGTTCTGTGGACGTGACTAGGGAAAAAGGAGCAACTGTGATTTTCGAATTCTCTACTATGAAAATTCTCTTTCTCTCTACAAATTCAACGCACTTTGATTTTTTTCAAAGTGCGTACTTTTTTAAAGTGCGTTGCCACACAGCACTGTTAGAACATATCAGTAATTCCATGATAGGTTTCTGACAGTGGCTAGCATACAATGAACCAGTACATATGTATGTACAATTTGGTATTTGTAGAAATACAAGATATAGATGTTTCTAACCTTTTTTATATGCCCAGTCTTGGTACCGACAAATGCAACAGTATATCCGGCGTTTGTTGTAGTCACTATAAGTGATGAAGCTGTGGAATTAACACTGATGGCTAAGCTAGCCTTGATTGCTTCTGGACCATTGACTGGATTATTGAAATCATATTGTCCACAATATTCATCTCCTATGACGAGAGTCTGCACAGAAAGGAAAAAATCTTAGTACAATAAACTAGAATTCAGTGAAGATGATATAACAATATTGTGGGCTCACAAGGTGATAAGATTCCAGTTTTTTTTTTCATATTGGATTATGGATTTGTCAACCATTACTTCTATGAAATCACAAAAAACTACAAGATGCTCAAGAGTTACAGTGCTCACCCGTGCCTTGCTGTTCAAAGTCAGCAATATTTCCCCATAATAATTCCATGTAAAACTTTCATAGTCCTCTCTGGCCCTACCCTTCCTTTAACTATGCCTAATCATGACTTTGCTTTTCTTAAACAAATGTCCTGATACCCAAGGTTGCTTCCATATAAATATGACTAATCATGGCTTTGCTGTGTTCTTAAAAATACTTTAATTGCTCTTTTTCTATTTGATCATCGTGGTCAAACCTTAAACCCGGTTGTCCTGATTTGAAAAACTTCAGTATACACTATCTAAGAATGTTTTCATCCATATAAATAAAACTAGTTATGGCTTTGTTGTTCTACTCATTTTCAAATCCATTGGTTCTATTCAGCATGCCAAACCGATCAAGAAAAAAGAATTTTCTTTAGATTTTATAAATGTAAAATTGTGATCACACGGTTGGCTTTTCTTTTACATCTCAACATCATTGCCGACAAAAATATATCCAACAGTAACTGTAATACCGTATATACTCAACTATATTTCGGTTCCTATAAACTGGCTGTATTTTTAAAATTCATATTGGGGGAGGGGGTATGCAGTTTTCAGATTCTGGAAGTCTTCGGGCAAATTTAATTTTGTTTACAAATAGTAAATTTTCTTTTTGTTTTAATTTGTAACGATCAATATGTTACATTCAGTTTAAAATACTGTAGATTCCTTATTTAAGAGTTGAACTAGGTACTTGTTTAGATAACTACTTTAAATTCCATTAAATCGTATAGCTGCTTGTATATTTCTAACTTTTTTAAAAATCTGAAATAGTATGAATGAGCAATAATACCATATAATTACCGTTTTCTGACAGTTGTTGGGAGTAGCAATATGGTCCGGCCCAGTTCTGCCAATGCCATCAAAACATCTCCTTATATTTCGAGTGAATACTTGTTTTACATAACGCATTGGATAAATACACAAAACAGATTCCCCGTTGCTATTTGTGAGGTCATTTGAGGTTCCGTGTCCAAACATTCCAAATAATACATCTTCATCCTCTTGAATTTGTAGAGATGCGGCCAAATGAGAGCCAGGTTTGCCTACATAAGCTGTTTGTAACAAATTGTACGTCTCCATGTTATGTTGACATTCGAAGGCATTTTCTGCATAGGAGTAAAAGTGCTCATCAAAAAGACACACCCTTATCAATTTAGAAATGTAACCCTCAGTAGCAATACTGGGTTTTTGAACTGTCCCAACGTAACTAAAATTACCCGATGCAAACCCATAAATGTACCGAATAGGGAAGGAGTCCTTATTTATTTCATCCAACATTGTGTAAGACTTGGTTGCAATGCTAAAGTGTGTGAATTGAAAATCCTCAGTGTTTCTGCTGCTAAGTGCTGGTACAAGACCACGAATGGCTCGCAATCCTGTGTTTGTCCAGGATGCTCCTACATACATGGCGGTGGTATCTTTGGGCCCCGGTGCCAGGAAGGCCACAGTTGTGGCTGTCTTATTGTTAGCAACTACAGGATTCACTGTATTCTCATAAGATTTTGGAAGCAATTCAAGGTTTGATGCATTCCGCTTTTCACAACTCCCCTGAAATAAACTTGTGCAGATGATGATTTCATCTTGCTGTGGTTCCGTTTTCTTATTTATAAGAAGAGCCTTGACATAACTGTTATACAGTACCTTAGTACATGTAACCTTCTCTAGATTCAGGCAGTTGGGGTTGTCCAATTTTGGTCCTATTTGCTTTGATGTTTCTATGCTTAAATTGCCAGAAAAGACCCTATGAATATAGTTTGTCCCACCTACAATAATCATGTCAGATCCATACTTTGACATAAGTGAAAAATCATCATTAGGATTTGGGTTTTCTAGTTCTTTTATCACGAAGGCTCCTGATGTGATGGAGATTGTCAAACTAATAACACTCAATAAAATCAACACCATCGCATTCTCCATCTTCCACAATTTCTTCACTCCCTGCAACAATGAAAAGCAAAATAGTTAAAATGATTCTCAAATGTCTATGAATTACATATAAATTTGTAATGTTTTTGAAACATTGAAAGTGATCTCTCAGAGATTCCATTTTCCATTAAAAATTTTGATTGTTCATTAAAAGATACGAATACGAATACGAATAATGAAATTTCCCCCAAAAGACAATATTAAGTTAAATAATCAAGACTAAATCCTTGAAAAGTGTCTTTTGCTTCTTTCCGAGCACCGAGGATATTATTTATTGAACAGCTCTCGCATTTATTCCTTTAAACCATTTTTCTCTCGATGTAAATTTCTCTTTTCCTCTTTTTATTCAAAATACATATTTCCATCAAAGAATAATATTGTAAACGAGTAATTTCAGATACGAAAATATATTAACATTTGCATTTAAACAAATATTCCTACAAAATGAAAAAACAAAACAAAAAGAGCAAATTTGTTGTGTCACTCCATTTTGAATGAGCTTCAGTATAGTCTCCTTCACATTAATTTTCGTAAAACGGTACTTTTAAATTGAAGACATATTTTGATTACACTACCATAGATCACTATATTTTCGCGACACATTATTTTCGCGATTATGCCATATTTTATTGATTAGCGAGGCAAAAGTTTTGCCAGTTGTAGTTTCTGTTGCATATAATCTTTTATACTAGTAATACAAATATACGCGAGAATAAAATTTTTGCGAACAGAAAGACTCGCGTAATAAGGCGAAATAAAGTTATCGCGAATAAAAAGTTATTTTCAGTACTTGAGTCTCTTGAATACGTGTACCGTTCACGGTATCTCAGTCGGTAGAGCTCTTGCTCCGTGATCGGGAGGTCGTGAGTTCGAATCTCGGCCGCGACTGCCCTAAGTCGATACAAAATGGGTTGCAACTGTTCCTTCGCCATGCGCTCGGCACTTTGAAGTGAAAGTAGCGGGTTTAACTGGGATGAAACCTTAAACATCGTTATCCCGTCTCACGGCAGACTCTAGCACGATAAAGATGGCCATGAGTTCAAAGTAAGGGCCTAAATTTACAGTACGTGTAAATCAAATATTTGAAACATATTCCTCCTTCGTTTTCATGTTTTTCTTCACCCTACTATTGTACTATAGACTAGTCATGCTGGACACGTTATTTCCGGTGCCATTAATAAATTTAACAAGCATTCTGAGAGCATTAGCAATACTGGTCTCCTACCGGAAAGTATAAACAGAGGACTGTTAAATATAAATAACGTTTGCGAGCGCTCGCCAAAATTCCTCAAACAAGTACCTCCAATAGAATTGTTCGCTCTGTTGAACAGGCCTCTTGTTTTCATTGAAAATTAAACATGCTGTAATTCCATAAAAAAATAATTTAAACGAAACATAACGAAAACTTGATCTCTAATTTATCAAGGAGCAATCACATACCAAAAATCACCTCAATATCTGCAAGCGTTTAGAAAAAAGTGTGGAAAATCCTTAAAAATTAAACGGATTGTAATTTAATTCCCTCAAATATCAATAAAGCGGAACGAAATTCAAACTTGGTCTGTAACTCCTCAATATACACTTACCTACCAAATATCATCTGCAAATATTTTTAAAAAATTGACACTGAAGATGAGGTTTCAATGTTTTTTGTGTATTTATAACGACTTAAAGTAGAGCTTGGTCGCGGTTTCTTCCGTTTTAAGCAAGACCGCTCCTTTCACTGTTTTATAATAGACCTTTTGTCATTTATGTGCCAATTCCATTAGATGAGGAAGGAAATTCAGTTGATTTAACCTCTTACTTTTAGATATCATTATTTCTCAAACTTTCAAAATCAAATAAACCGAGGTTGTTTTGCAGAGCTTGAATTCTTGAAAACAGAAAGATCTGGAAATTTGAAACTTACTTCGCTTACAGTACTCCTCCATTGCACATGATCCATCCTCTGATTTTTTTCAATTTCTGTTCCTTTTTGCTCTGTCCTGATCTGTATTATTGTACTTTTGAAATTGTTAACATTTTTTCTCCGTAGTTCATGCAAAAATATTTGATGGGAAGCTCGTATCATGTAAATCTACACTTAAATCTCCATTTTTTTTTTATTTTTAGCTCAGATACGCCATATACTTAAATACCGCAATTAAACTAAGAGTCTCTCTTATAATGAATAGTGGGATATTTTTTGTGGAGCGATTGTTTTAGGGTTTGTACGTTTTTTTCCCTATAGTACACATGATGAATAAGTGTAATAAATTTAATTTATGAAAAAAAGTGTTCAATAAGCCCCAGGGTTGAATATCCGGAGAATACCTGTGCCCGTACTCTGTACATCGTGTACAAAACATAGTACAACAGAATAAAGTTGCTTTGAAACATGTAAGAAGAGGTCTTTTAAGAAATTGATAATTGTAGAAGTAAAAAACCAAAATGTAAGGGACTGTATTTCTAAAAATTACCTTTTTCTGCTTCTTAACTAATTGCGGTACTTTGAAGTATTTCGTCTTACTATATTCCTGCATGTGTAATAAACTCTTAGTAGAATATGAAAGATAGTTTTTGGAATAGTTCTGTAAGCAGTAAAAAATGAACTTCCTTCGCACTTGCGCGGAGTTTCAGCTAGTATATCTTTAAAATAAAATCAATTATAGAACAATGGAGAAAAAGAAAACAACATCAATTGGGAAAATTACTTTAATCAAATCACTTCTTAAATCACAGCTTCATCAATCATATACCCTTACCAACTCCGCAAATCCGTTTTCGAAAAATTTGAGCAATTTACTTTTTAATTTTCCTCGAAATCAAATGTTGATAACTGCCGAAATATGACTGAAATATTGCCGACTTGGCGTAACACAGCAAAAATCAATCAATCAAATGTTGATAAAATTAAAAGAAAAGTTGTTAATCAGCAATATACATATGGTTGTGTAAAAATTATTGATATAGGCTGTCACATAATTTAAGCCTTGAAGTCAACATGGGTGTGATAACCTTTTTGCTGACAATCTGAGAAATTCAGAACTATTGATAAAGAACATATAAAATCATAAAAAAAAGTTAAAATTGTGGACAGACATGCTGAAAAATCTTGGAGGTGTTTCTGATAGGTAGGATTAATCTAACGCTAATTCCAGAAGTACAGTAATTCCTCTTTCGATCAAATAAGGATGAATACACATGAAACATGTAAATAGTATTAATACATTCATTTTTCATATACTAAAAGAGTAAATAATGTGATATAGACGTAACACGAAAGAGAGATCAAGGCTGAATAAATCCAAACATGTGTCCACCACTCGTGTCTAAGTTCTCCAACCTCGTCATTATGTCTGTAACTGCTCAGTGCCTGTATAAAAGAAAACAATTTGTTATTTGTTTATAAATTAACCATGTCAACACCCCTCATTAATATGTTTTATATTCTATTTAACTTTAATATTTAATAAAAGACAAACGTTGAGATAAACACTTTATATCTGTATATAAAAAAAGACCCTATAAGGATGACCAGTTTTCAAAATTTCAATTAGAGGTATGAATATAGGCCTATGTATATTTGTGTTAATCCCTTTACAAACGGGTAAAAATAACTATTTACACAGTATACGACTCTGATTGAAGGAATTATCTATAGTTGTTCAAATAAAATTCTAAATATTAATGTATCAGTATATAGTCATTCAGAGAGTCAAGCATCTGGTTAGATTCCCATTCAATTACACTAAAATTTGATAGGCCTATGCCATTTTTTAACATTGTTAAATACGACAATAAAAAAAACTTTGAGACTCGTTAGAATTAAAAATACTTTATGAATTTCACTTACAAGATAAGATGATCTGAATGCCAAAATGGCGAAGGGAAAATTACATATAAAACAAACAAGCAAAAACATTGCAAAACAAACTCCATCTGCATCTTTGGGCTGGAATGGAATGATGTATGTTAAAATCTGAAAAGAAATGTAGATATATTTACTCATTGTTTAATTCTTATGCAAAAAATAAATGAATAAAGATGAATCGAATGAATATCATTGTTAACAATGCTGGTTTTAAGAAATTTTCTGACCGTTTTGTTCTCTGGTTGCTGTAGGGACAGTCTATTTTCTGGAATCAGTCGTTCATGGACTGTACCTCTGTGATGGGATTCTCTATCGGTGTCTTGTGCTGTAAAGAAATAGATTTAAATCAATATATCTCTTTTTCAATCAATAATAGTTTAATTAATTAAATAATTTCATTCAAATTTTTCGTTTATCTTACTTATTCTTGATTTTTATTACTTTTTATTATGAGCTTTAAAATTTATTCAATCAATGCATTTGCCCAATGTATTTTAGAAATTCCGATTTCCTTCTAATGCTCACAAAGATTTCCTGATCAGTGTTTCACCTGCAGAGGTTTTCAGAAACTTATCTACATATAAGACAGGCCCACAGAGGTATGCAGTTATAGGAAGCTAGAATAAAACACAGAGACAAAATTTTAAAGGTGATAGAAACATTAAATCATTGTTTATTTACTTACGGCACTCTTCGATTTCCTCACATATGTTTGACGCCATTGCGTAGTATTACTTCCTTGTCTGGGGATTCCCTAGTCTTACTTAAAAATACATGGGTTCTAGAGTTCATGGGCATTGTTGCATGTCATTTTTTTTTCTCGATGTATTCAAATACTGTTGCTTGAGGTATTTTCCGATATAGTTAGTGAATGAACAGCAAAATTACAAATTACATTATTGAGTTCATTTAATTTTTCCCGTGCACTTGTTTAGCTTTGCCAGTATAAATCATATAAATTCCCTATATTTGTTATTTCCTAGTGAATAAACGTTTTGTAATTATATGTATGTACATATACTTCCCTGATTGAAATCAATTTGACTATCATTGAACCTTATTTATTAAGGATATCCGATCCTCAGCCAAGAAGGATAACTCCAAAACTTAATATTTTATTTAAAATGCATCAAAATAAAGCTTGAAAATATTTTTTTTTCATGCAACAATTTTCATTTTAATCATCTGTATTAGATTCAAGGGTTTTGGAAGTCTAGAAAAGGTCTTATAAAAGTTGACATCTATACCCCATAAAAGGGAAAAAAAATTAATAAAGTTTTAGAGAAATAAGATTTTTCTTAATCCAGCCTTAGATAATAATGCTTATTAGCATGATATGATATAAAAAGTGATTTGTGGTGTCTTGCAATGATAGTAAACACCTTTTACACTATGTATTATAGAATATATGACGAAAATAGAAGATAAAAAATACCAAATAAGTATATAAATCATGGCAATTTCTCTGAATGCCTGGAAACCTATCATTTTTTAAACTAAAATATATGTGTTGATCAATTTGCAATTAGGAAATGCATTGCTGATATTCCAATTCGATTTTTCTGCAAAAATATTAGAGATTTGACATTTCCCCCTATGTAATATGATTAACTTTAATTTTTAACTTTAAAGAAATGCTGTGGATAAATTTACATAACTTTGTGGATTTAGAGATACTTTTATGCGTACTTTTGATTACTTAACTGCTAATTTTATAAACCTGAGGATCGGACTACCTTAAATGGCGTCTGCACAGGTGATAAACACTATTTAAATTATTTTAATGAACTTACTACATGGAGCATACCTAAAAATGCTTGAGAAAAGACATCTGACTTTTCTCAAGCAACATTCAAACACAGAACATTTAATATAGTTGTATAAAATATGTTCGTATTGGATTCATTCTTCTTTATTGTTACTTTAAGCTTTACAGCTTATCAGTATATATACAAAATACACGTGTAATACAGACAGTTTCAGTACAGTACAAAAATGGATACTTTACGGGCGAACAATGTGTACGTACATAAATAATGGTAGTAAAATACAAAAAAAAAAAAACAAGGAAAAAATACCAACATTCAGATAGGCAAATTACGTCATACATACACAAAAGTTTCTCAAATTGTTATTTTTCCATTTTTTGTCAAAACTTCCGTGTAAATTCCATCCTAGGGTTATTCAAGAATGTTCACCTATTCTGTTCTTCTTTAAACTATTCTCGACAGGACCGTCACGGTATAGGTCAGTCAGAAAAGTGAGCACTCCGAGATCCGTGGTGGTGAGTTCGAATCTCGCCTACGATTGAGCAAAGTCGATAAAGATGGGTAGCAACTGTTCCTTCGCCATGCGCTTGGCTTTTTGAAGTGAAATTTTCCGGTTCTTTGGATGAAACCTTAAAAACCGAAATACCGAGTTACGGCGGGCGTAGGTACGATAAAAATCCCTCACTGCTCAATGGCCCTGAATGTCGAGAATAAAAGGTCAAAATATAAAGCCGTGTGCCTGTTTATGGTGACGTCTCGTTATGCGTGAAAAATTCTCGATGGGACGTTAAAACAACATACAATCAATCTTCTCGTCAGAGGAAAATTTGAAATCAAATGTATTGATGTAATGCTCTATAGGAGAATTATATATTATAGCAAGGTTAATATATGCTATAGTCTTATATGATAATTAAAAAATCCTTAAATATACATCCTGTCAAGAGGTCACAAAATGATCAGTCATAACAATTAACAATGTCTGGCGATTATTCTCATTCTTACTTGCTTTTTTAACTTAAAATACTAGTACTGCATACAAAAACTTTTTGCTTCAAGAAAATTTTGGTTCTAAAAATATAATTTTTTATTCATTTTTCTACACCACTGTATCATTTTACAATTTAATTCATTTGGAACAAACTACATGTAGAAAGTTGGAGTTTAATTTACTCAGTAATATTGCATACGTGCAACATTTTTTCTGACCTAAAAAAGAAATAAGTGTACATTCTACCTGTTTGCTGAGGGCCATACTATGTATATGTAAGGATGTGTTTGTGTTTAGGTAGGATTCTTCTCTGGTTTCTGACTAGGTGAAATATCCAAAGTACATTTGCTTACATGTTTTATATATTTATATGTAAGAGATTTAACAAACCGTCTTTATTTCTCATCAAAATTGTTCAACTTTAAATAGAATTGGGTAACAGCCTTTGAAAACTAGCAGGGACTATATTTTGGCGGTCTGGTGGCGTATAAAATATCTTCTTTTCTGTCTATCAAAATTATTTAAGAACAATTAATTTAATTATAATTTTTACACAATCAGAGACTTGAACATTTCGAGTGTAAGTTGATTTAATAATAAGGGAGAAAAGTTCCTAAATATATCTTTTAAAAAAAAACCAAGAATTATGTTAGCCTTTATAAGCTTCCAATCTGAGAACAGATTTAAGAAAGTAATACTAAAAAGTATTTTTTTTTTTCTCTTTTAGTAGACGATCAAAACTTTTTTGTTTTTATATCATTTTGTATCTTCATATGACAACATTGCTATATGTGAAAACGAGAAAAATATATTTATAAGAAGCATATAAAAATAACGAATAGCTTATTTCTTAAAAATTTAAGAAAAGTAGAGAAAGTTTGGATTAGCCAATATCTATGTCAATTTAATAATATCATCTAGTAGACCCTTAATGGTATTATCTTTTGTGCAAAACGAAAATCATTCAATCTTGGATTGAAATACAAGTAGAGATAGCATAATTAGAAACATTGATTTTTTTTTATTATTATAAATGTCCAGGAAAAAAGGTAATGACCTTAACCTGACCTTGTCTCTAATATAAAACAGTCAAATTTAATTTTACTGATATCATCAATCAGTGATATTGTCAGAGAAGAATCGTACCTTAAACGAGACTTCTTATATCGTAGCTTCATCCACTTGTTTGTGAATAACTTGCCACGTTTCAAAAATTGTTTATACGTAGAACATGCTCTTCCGTATCGAATCAAAAGAGAGATATAAACTCCGTATGCAGGTATAAAAAAGTATACTGCTGTATAAGTAAAGGAAGTTGACGATTGAAAAGTTAAAGCCATCACATTTATCATAAAGCTTTGATGTTAGAGAACCAATAACGTCTTTTATTTCTAGTAAAAGATTCTAAATATGAAATATATGTGTCAGACTCTGAAGTATTTTTATTTTATTTAATATGCTCACTGGGATATTTCATGTCGACATAAATATGTGACTGATCTTTACAAATATTCATTTGTCCAACTCACTATGTACGATTATAGGGTCGATAGATAGAGAAAAGAATTTTTTTCTAGAAAATGTCAACATCTCTTTTGATGGGATATTAAAGGAAAACAAAGAAAAACATCATGTCCTGGAATATTAAAAAATGTTTTGAGTCAGGCCATTTCTAAACATTTTTTTTAAAGATGGCTGTAACTTATTCCACAGCTATTCTACTGATCAGGATATGTATCAAACCCATCCATTCGAAAGTTAAGGTTATTTCTAGCATACAGCTTCACTGATCAAGGTTATCCCTCGCACGCTGTTTGACTGATTGGGGTTAGTCCTCGAACACAGTAAGACTGATTAAGGGTTAGTTCTCTCTTTGTTTTACTGAAAAGGGTTAATCTTCGCACAAGCTTGTCTCATAAGGGTAAGCCTTCTCACTCTTAATTTATCTTCATTTTTTTTCTTTTCAGGCCATATGATATAATGTTCAAAGTTATAATTCAGTTCCGGTTGGAGTGGATAGTTTATTGAACAAAAAAAATCAGTCCCAGTACTCAGTTTTATTGTAATAAGATTTTATATGATATCTTGACGTTCCTGTATCTACCATTCTTGTGTGTTTCCACTATAGTTTCCACCTGCTTGGTTCGGGAATGATAATCTAGTATATAGGCTCTGGTGACGAGGGAAAGATGAATAAGTTCTTCTCTTTTTGGGGTCCACAATACCTTACATTTCCTATGATGAAGTCTGATTTTAAAATTCCTTTTATTTGATTGAACTTCATTTCATTTTTATCAGCTACTGATGAAAAAAACCCAATATATTAAATACATTTTACTAGTTAAAAAAATGATGAACAAAATAGGCTGACTGATGTTAGTATCTTGAAGACAATTGCAAGTCATTTTAAATATCTAGAAAAAAGAACCCCAGTTGGTCAGATAGGATTTCTTAGAGACAGGATAACTTTTTTTGGTTCAAACAATTACATGATTTAATGACCAAGTGAAAGAAAGCAGGTTGATTTATATAATCAAATGTTAATTTGTCTATTTAAATCATTTAAAACTAGTATACAGTGAAAATACTAATGTGTTAATGGTTTCAACGAATGTAAAGCAAAGTTAACACTTTAGGTCACTTCTAAGACTAAGGGTTTCGTGTGGTTGGTCCTGTTTGTCCGTTCATGACTTAATTCCAATCGACAGTGTGGTAGAGAATAAAGGCAGTAATACTTAAGATGCCGAGTACAAGTGAAATCAAGGTCAACTGTTTCGCCGATCTTGAATAGGATCTTCCATTTTCATAGTCTCCCTCGTCGTAACGGGATCTTGCCTGAAGAAGTAAAAAATATCGAACCTTAATAATTAATAACCGTTAATTTTTAACATGAGAAAAACCATCAAAATAATCCTTAGATGTGTTTTTATTTTAAATATTTGAAAACATTTTCTATCAGACATTTATTTCAATTTCTTTTTGTACAACTCTTGCATAAACAGTCATAAAATGAGATAGATACTTCTAATAAATAAGAATTAAAATTATCTTTTTTATCATGATGTCATATTATTTAACATCAACATTCTCATTTGAGGTCCGTATATTTATACGTGATACTTAATATGTCTAATCAGATATTCAATGTATTTTCTCAATATTTGGAGACACGTGTTTGCTCTGTGAATATTGTTCGTTATACCCAGATATTTCTTTACATGATCACAAGACTTGAAATCCAGGGTTGATATTCTCTATGCAATAAATTCTGTTTTTTTTTTTTTTTTTTTTTTTACTAATTTCTGTGCTCTATTTTTTGAAGACATAAATAAAAAAAGCTCTTGTGACGAGAATATTTTTTGGCTAATATATGTTGGAATGGACAATGCGTAACAAGAAGAGGATACATAAAAATACAATATTGATATAATATAGTCATCACAGGATGAAAAGCCAGGTTTCCCAAATTTGGAAACCCGATGGAAACATATGGGAATCGTGACATCAGTAGTTTCCATATAGCATCGATTGTGAATTTTGTTGTAATCTAAATAATAACTAAAATTATACTGACGTGCAGATTGAATCTAATTATGAAATCAATTCTACGTACAGTTCCTACCCTATCTTTCTATAAATACTCAACAAATTTAAAAAAGAAACGCATATTGTTTTAATCATCGAAGAAATTTTGAAAAAGTATGTGGAACAACTACCTTTTTTATCATTGGACACCTGTGATATATTCAAAGAACAACATGGGGTTTTAAACCCAAAGTGTTCAGTCAGGGACGTAGCAACAAAAGGGGGGGTGCCCCCCCCACTTTTTTCCCCAACCTTACTTATACTATAAGAAATGTTAATTAAAAGTCTGGTTGCCCCCCCCCCCCCCCCACTATTAGTGATGTACAGAAAATAAAGCATAGGAATTGGTACTGAAAGAAGTTGAAATGAAGAAAAAGTTACCCTCACTTTTAATAAAATAAGGTTAAACTGAAAACTCAGATTTTCATATTTAATCTGAATATGCATTTCTGTTTTTGTTGAGTATAATATCGTGTGTAGAATTTGATTTTCTTGAGAAGATAAACATACATTAACAGCTGCATTTATTGCACAGACGCCAACGGGCCAGAAACAGCAGAGACAGGCAAAAATGGCGGGCACCAGCCAATCGCTTTCTCTTTCTGCAGCAACATCTCTAGGTGTAGAGGCACTATTCACCTATTAAGTAAAAGGAAAACAACAATTTCAATAAGAATGTACAATGTACATATTTTATCACGAAGAAAAAGCAGATTATTCACTTGCAATTTATCACATTATTTTCTTTGCAATCTCATTTTACACATTGTACTGTAAATGATCGTGAAGCATTGCTGTATTTCAATGAAGTTGAATTAAGCATTGAATTTGTAAGTAATTTGACCACAAACTCACAATAATATTGGCTGAGGTTCTCGACATCGGGTAACTAGAACCCGAAGGCTGCTTTGTTGGGTCTACGGGAAATTGATCGTACCCCGCACTGTATGCTAAAAAATAAAAGTTAAAATATCTTTGCTTATATATTTTCTTCATTTTAAATTTTCTTATTTGAAAAAAAAAGTTTAACATTTCTTAAATGAAATAAAAGCCGGATCCGAATCTGTCATAAGAAAGCAGTTCCAGCAGATGTTTGGCTCTAAATAAATGTGCGCTTAAAACTTGGGTAACCAGTAAAGAATCCAGAATAAAATAGGTTTATGTAGAAAACCTTAGCTTGTTAATCGACCCTCTGGATGAAAATTTTAAAATTTTATTGAATATCTGGTTTAGAAAAGAACTACGACTTTATGATTGCGACAAATTTTGACCATCGGTGCTTTCAACGTCCATGGCTGTTAGGTTCAGTATAGAATGACTTCTGTGACTTTTACTGTAATTCTTAATGCTTTAGTTCCAATTAAGTAGCATCGGGTCTTTGAAAAAGAGTGCAGTTCAAATGGTAATTGTTTTCGAAGATTTACGATTAAAGTCTAAAAAGGTCCGCTTTTAGAAAAGAAAGAGGTAGGTTCACAAACTTCATAAAATGGCCCTGTCATTATACCAGTTAACTGACAAAGTCCCTACGTCTCATTTCGAAAATCAACATAATGTGGAGACTTAGTGCTTTCATTCCTGTAAAATATACCACAGATCTAGAGTGACACACTTGTTTTATACTTGGATATTTTATTTAAAAAGACGTTCATTGTAATCTAATTACCAAGCTAATGATAAACGTGATGACTTTAACTTTTCTATCGTCAACTTCCCTTACTTATGCAACAATATACATGTACCTTCATCACCTGCATATGTAGTGTATATATATCTCAGTTGATTCGATACGCAAGAGTATGTTCTACGTATAAACAATTTCTAAAACGAGGTAAATTATTGATATGCAAGTTGATGAAACAAGAATATCAGAAGTCATCATTTTGTAAGATTCTAAGGGTGATACAACGACCTTGTCAGCAAATACAATTTGTCATTAAGTCAAATGCTGACAGACGTTTTTCATACTAATTGTTAGTCCATTATTAATACACTGAATTGACGGCGGATTTTTCCATTATTTTCCGACCATGACAAGGAGCACACGGCGGGTGTGACCGGTCGGCAGGGGATGCTCACTCCTCCATGGTACCTGATCCCACCTCTGATGGAGGTCCGTATTTGCTCTGGTCCTATTTTGTATTGTTTTATGGACTTTGATATTGAATACTGTTCGTTAACTCCATATCCTTCTATAAAAAAAAAATCCTCTGAGAATCCAAGTCTTGATACTCAGGCTATGTTAAACTACAATGTTCTTGAATTTTGAAGAAAAAGAGGGAATTTGAGCATCTTCAACTATAGATTAAAACTGAGCCCATCCCGCGATCCAAAAATTGTTTCATGGTTTAGAACCTTCTGAAAGAGTTCTTTCATAATATAGTTAAATATTTTAGATCGGAGAACCGGAATTATGCAGAATACTTTTAAAACCACTTAAAATTTTGGCCATTTTCAAAGAAATTTTCAAGATTTGAGGAAATGACACAATTTATGATATAATAATACATGAACAAGAAGAAAAACCATGTCCTTTTTATTTGAATTATGACGTCATTAAGGGTGCAAGTGAAATTTAACATATTTTCAACTAAAAATGAGCAATTCTAATTTTTCAGAAGTTCATGAGGCCAAAAGACGCTCAAGGTGAACCTTACTTGTTTCATTTGATTTCGTAGCTTCCTGTCTATGAATTGGATAAGATAACGATTCTGAATATTATTAGGAAAATTCTGAAGCCACGTCAGTTTTTTTTTATATTTCCGTTAAAATGTGCACAACTCTAGGTAACAATATTTGGTTTAAAACTTTATGTTCAAAGAGCTTCTCAATACATTTGATCATGTACAATCCAAATTCAATTTTCAATAATTAAAATTTTAAACTTTGTTCATCACTGCCTAGTTTGCTGGATATACGAGGGCATCAACGATAGTTGGAAAGGTAGAATAATTTGCATGGCAGGCAAAGCTTTTGCCCTTACAAACACACAGTGAATAAAACATGTGTTCCTTACATATAAAGCAACGGAAGTGATGATTTCTAATAATTCAATTAAAGTTACAGCGTGCCATAAATGGGGTTTTATGAATAGACGTACTTTTATATTCGACAGTTGACTCTTACATTTTAGTAATTGGAGTTTATCTCTGTATAAATTGTAGAAGTCAGTCGTCAATTGTAAAAGTAAGTCTGTTCATAAAACTCCATTGCGCACGGAGATTCTAGAGAGATAACAATTTGCGAAATTCTTAAGTGCATATTTTAAACGACCTACAATTATTGAAAAATATTAAAACTTTAAATGGGTTCAAATTATGTCTCATTCAAACACAACCAGCACTGAACTATTTGCAGGCTGATGTTTATATTTCCTGCCTTTCTTTCATTTGAAAAGCTGAAATAATAAAAAGGAAGAACGAAGAATAAGCCTAATTATGCAGTAAATACGGATCATTTGATTGGCCAATCAAATGAAAAGATGGGAACATGTTACCCTAGCTATAACCGTTTCTCCCAGTGATTAATTTCTATATATAGACCTGTCACTTGAGGAATTGCGTGAGGCATATCAGAGTTCATTTTCTCTTAAAATGAAATTAAATTCAAAAAAGAAACAATGGCTTCAATGCATAGAAATTAACGATGAATAAAGTGACGGAACAAATGGCAGACAAGTCCGGATTATAAATCTACTCTTCTCTCAACAGGAACAAAGAAAAACGTTTTATTCGGGGCAATGAATTAATAGTAAATTCAGGCATGCAACATCTAGTTGCAAAAAAAGGTAACGATAAGAATTGACCAAAAAAAGTTGCAGTCAACGTATGAGATGTTCATGTTAATTCATATATTTCCTACTCATAAAGCTGCAAGAGGGTAATTTAGTTAAGATTGTAATTTCATGTAATCCTTACACAGTTTTGGACACAAAAGGTGCAGTATTCATGTATATCTTATTTGATATATGATTAGAAAAAAAACCGAAAAGTATTCAATATCAAAGTCAGTAATACAATACGAAATAGGAGCAGACCTCCGAAACATTAGAGGTAGCATCAGGTCTCATGGAGGAGTGAGCATCCCCTGCTTACCGGTCACACTCGCCCTGTGCTCCTTGTCATGATCGGGAAATAATGGGAAAATCTGTCGTCAAATTAGTGTATAAATAAATATATAAATGGACTAACAATAAGTATGATGAAGGTCAGTCAGCATTTGACTCAATGATAAATTATATTTGCTGACAAGGTCATTTTATCGACCATAGAACTTACAAAATGATGACTTTAAACGAGAATGTTGATATTCCCGTTTCATCAATTTGCTTCTCAATAATTTAATTACCTCGTTTTAAAAATTGTTCTTACGTAGAGCATGCTCTTGCGAATCGAATCAACTGAGATATATACACTCCGTACGCAGGCGATGAAGGTGTATTGTTGCATGAGTAATGGAAGTTGACGATAGAGAAGTAAAAGTCATCACGTTTATTATATAGCTTGGTTGTTAGATTACCATTAACGTCGTTTTCAAGTAAAATATCCAAGTGTGAAACGGATGTACCAAATGTGGTATCTTGTCTCAATTTAGAATTAGTTATTACTGATGATCTTGACTAATTGAGCAATCTATTACTATCAAAGATCTAGATGAACATTCGTTTGCTCTGTTCTACATTTAAGAGGATCATTTGTACATCCAGTCTTAAAAGTGCTTAAGAAGTAATATTAACTCATTTATTTCATGATTGGATGGACAAAAATATAATGTGAAAATTCCAAAATTTAAATTGACAACTTTTTTATTGGAATTTGGAATACATAAAATGAAAATGCTAAATTTTATCAAATTGTTGGATTTTAAATCATGAGCGTTTTTACATCATCATGATCATTGTATCTGTGTTGAAAAACGTTTCGGAGACTGCACATGCCATTATCTCTATAACTTATATCAGGAGTAGACACATCTCTCATTCAAAACTCCTCCTATACCTCTTAATTAGTCACGGAATCTTTATTACATATACTATAGTCCGAAATATCTTACGTTCTCCAGGCTTTTTCACGATTTTGATATCCTGGCACATATAATATGAAAATCGTGAAAAAAGTCTGAAAAACGTAAGATATTTCGGACTATATTACATAGTGTTATAGCTGCACATCTTAAAAAAGCAATATACCTTTAACCTGAGAAATATTTCTGGTTTCCTATATCAAAACATAAATAATGCCATTCCTTTTATAATATCGGGAGCACCGATCCCATTCCAATACATGTAGCATTTTATATAACGTTTTAAAGGTGTCTCAGAATATTTATCATTGTGACCTCCTATACGTAGGAAGTAGCGTATCAGAAACCCTTGGCTAGAGAAGATGCTTTTGAACAAGATTCCACTTAAATCAAATTAATTACCGTATCTTCTTTGTATAATCCCCCCCTGGTCCTTTCGATCAGAGTTGCACAACAATTGCATGTGTTGTTATTTTTTAAAATCAAGTTCGGTATTGATATTTTTATATATTATTGGGACATGTAACATATTTTGATTACAAGTACATGAAATAAACTCTAAAATGATCATAAATACTCACGAACTCCTTCGTACTTATATCCACTTGACATCTTTGTTCGGAATTTTTGAATTATAACACAAGTATATTCGACAGTAAACTTCCCAAATGTGTGACTCCACAACACACTTCTACTAAAATACTGGTATATGCACTGGCATATTAAATGCATGAACGGATTTTTGGACCCGGAAATACCTGCTTTCTGAAAAGCAAGGTCGCTTACAGAGTGCTTGTAAAGCCAACTGTTAGGTTAACATTATGCACTGAATATCTTCTTTACTTCTTTACAAAACCCATTGTCGTTAATCAGTGCATGAACAACACTGAGCAAGCCACATTTGTTCCATCAGTTCTACATACAATGACAAATTCATCTTAAAAACAATTATTAAGAAATTTAATTTTACTTTGAATGTTTTTTTTTAATACAGATGTAAATATAAACAATAAAATGTTTTCTTTGTTTGTTGGAATTAACGCTGCAGCAAATGCAGAAAGTAGGATATGGAGATAACAAACAGTATTCAATCTCATAAGTCCATAAAACAATACAAAATAGGAGCAGAGCAATCACGGACCTCCGAAACATTAGAGGTGGGATCAGGTGCCATGGAGAAAATACATAGCCCTCTAACCCGTTTGACACGCTTTGCTTTAATTTGTGAAGGTTTTAGATTCTCTAATTTAAGTCAAACTCCAAGATTTAGTTAGGAAAATGTCTCAACCTCGCTTCATTAATGATACCTGTGAAATATATCCAAGCACCATATTTTGAAATAGTCTTTTAAAAATATGATAAAATATATTAATTATGTTTTACGCAAATAAATAAAACAAGTTTAAAATCTTTTTAAAACTTTAAAATTGTGAAAAATCAGCATCAACATAAAAGAACACAAAAATTGCATAAAGGTCCATATTACTTGTAAAAAGGAATTTTTGTTTAAGGTTCAATCGTTTTAATGGTAGTAATGGTTTTACCAAAATTAAGAGGTATATCCCAAATAAAACGTTTTCTTGTATGAATATCTATAAAAATTTTGAAAATATATATATATATATATATATATATATATATATATATATATATATATATATATATATATATATATATATATATATATATATATATATATATATAATTAGAGATAACATTAGAGATAACCATAAATAAAAATACATTTATCTTATCCCTGGCACCAACAGTTCTAAAGTAATAACCAAAGTTAAGTTTATTAAAGGTAGGTCAAACTCGAAGTTTAAGGTGAAAAAGTCAATGTTGTTGGTATCCAAACAAAGGCCTTGTTACAAAGAACACATCTGTAAAATAAAAAGGCCGTAGTGCGGCTCAAAAGTTATGGCCAAGATTAAAGATTTTTTTAAAAAAATGATCACATGCAAAGTTAAAAAGATCGGAAAACATTTTATTCTTAGAAAGATATTTAACGAAATAACACATGCGAAATAGAAAAGCCCTCGGTCCAACTGTTTAAAAGCTACGACCAAGCTAAAGATTAAAATTCTTTTCCAAAGGTGAGTCAAATGTGTAGGCCAAGATAAAAAATGTTGATTCCTAAAAAAAGGCCCTATCACAAGAGGTCCGCATATGAAATATGAAAACAATAGCCTCAAACAATCATGGGGAAGGTTAATTTTTTCGGACAAACAGAAAGCTAGATGGACTGTCACACGGCCGGTGCCTGTCAGGACAAGGATAAATACCCTGAATCTTCGATAACGTGGGCCTCAAAAGAATTTACATTTTTTATTATGAAAAGACAAGGCTGCATACTTGCAATGCACCACAATTTCGGTCTTCCTAAAACTTCATTTAAAATATTTTATTTATACTTCACATCAAAAAGGTAAATATTTGATGTATTAGAATTAAGTTGAATTCAGCATTAAAATTTTAAGTGCTTTTAATTATTGATTACAGACTTGCAATAATATTGACTGAAGTTCTCGTCATCGGGTTACTATAACCTAAAGTCTGCCGTGATTGTATGCGGGAAGTTGATTATACCCCGTATTGTCCCTAACAAAAAAATACTATAGTTAACTATAGTTAACTAGAGTTTACTGTAGTTTACTATAGTTAACTTTAGTGATAACTTTGACACTTTGAAAACTTTGATTTACTATAGTGATAACTTTGACTCTTTGAAAAACTTTGATGAAAACTTTGACACTTTGAAAAACTTTGACGAAAACTTTGACACTTTGAAAAACTTTGGCGAAAACTTTGACACTTTGAAAAACTTTGGCGAAAACTTTGACATTTTGAAAAACTTTGATGAAAACTTTGACACTTTGAAAAACTTTGACACTTTGAAAAACTTTGGCGAAAACTTTGACACTTTGAAAAACTTTGGCAAAAAACTTTGACAATTTGAAAAATTTATTGAAAACTTTGACACTTTGAAAAACTTTGGCGAAAGCTTTGACACTTTGAAAAACTTTATCAAAAACTTTGATTCTTAGAAAAACTTTATCAAAAACTTTGATACTTAGAAAACTTTATTGAAAACTATGTCACTTTGAAAAACTTTATCGAAAACTTTGATACTTTGAAAAACTTTATCGAAAACTTTGATACTTTGAAAAACTTTATCGAAAACTTTGAAACTTTGAAAAACTTTGGCGAAAACTTTGACACTTTGAAAAACTTTGACGAAAACTTTGACACTTTGAAAAACTTTGACACTTTGAAAAACTTTATCAAAAACTTTGTGTGAAAATTTTCTAGAAAACTTTAGAAAATTTACTTTGAAAAAATCGAAAACTTTGATACTTTGAAAAACTTTATTGAAAACTTTGATACTTTGAAAAACTTTATCAAAAACTTTGACACTTTGAAAAACTTTATCGAAAACTTTGAAACTTTGAAAAACTTTGACACTTTGAAAAACTTTGACGAAAACTTTGACACTTTGAAAAACTTTGGTGAAAACTTTGACACTGAAAAACTTTGGCGAAAAATTTACTAGTAAACTATAGTTAACTAATATTTTTTGTTAAAAAAGAAAATAAAAAAATGTCTATGGGTTCTATCTATAATAAAAAGTGTGAATTTTCTAAAAGAAATTACAATCTGGATGTTGTCTTAAGAAAGTAGTACCCACATGTAGATTTTTGCCTCTAAATTTACTAACAATATTTTAAAAGAAAAACAGGAAAAAACGGACAATCTCTCTGTGCATTACTCTTGTGTAGATAATGAGAAATAATTAGTGATAACGAATGGACTTCAAGTTCAAAAGTCCATTAAAAAAGTAGAAAATAGCTGAGCAAACATGGACCTCCAAAACATCAGAGGTGGGATCAGGTGCCATGAAGGAGTAAGCATCCCCTGTCGAACGGTCACACCTGTCGTTTGCTCTTTGTAATAATCGGGAAATAACGGACAATCCATTATCAATTCAGTGTATAAATAATAGACTAACAATAAGTATGTAAAACCTCAGTCAGCATTTGACTTAAGGTAAAAATTATATTTGCTGAAAACCATAGAACTTACAAAATGCTGACTTTAAACGAGACTGTTGAAAGTATTATTTTACCAACTTGTTTGTCAATAATATACCTCGTTTTAGAAATTGTTCATACGTAGAGCATGCTCTTGCATACGTAGAGCATGCTCTTACTGAGAAACTTAGATGAGATAAACTCCGTATACAGGTGATAAAGGTAAATCGCTACATAAGAACGGGAAGTTGACGATAGAAAAGCGAACGTCACCACATTTATCATAAAGCCTGGTTGTTAGATTACCAATAATGTCTTTTTAAAGTAAATATCCAAGTATGAAACAGATGTGCCTGACTTTGTGGTATCTTTTACATGTGTATGAAGCTCACCTGGATAATCTTACTACATTATTATATATATATACGTATGTGAAGTCAAAAGTGATGTTATCGTCTGTTTCAACTCATAGGCGCTTGGTTTGAGGACGGTGTGTTTTATGTATTATGTGTTTTCTTTGCTTGTCTAAAAAAATCATTAAAATAAAAATGAAATGGTAAAATTAGAGTTTTTCAAAGATATCATATTTCTGTATACTGTAAAACCACATATTTCGTGGGGTCAGATTTCGTGCTTTGATAAGAAAATGTGAGTTCGGGTGGGCATTTTCTTTCAAGGATGAAGATTTTTAGTTGTAATATCTGTGAAAAATTACATTTCATGGTGGACATATAAATTCTAGGATTTCTTCTTACCTTGTAAACAACGAAGATTGAAAAACGTAAAAAGACACAAGCAATTGACATTCTCTGTTTTGCATTCAAGAGGGAACGATGCCTTGGTTCATATTTGATTTTATTCAACATGTACGTTTTTCTTTCGTGTGAGTGTGACGTTATCTGAGTGGAAAAGATAAAAAAGATATGTTTCAGTTTAATACAAGAGCACTGAAGTATTTGAAGACCAATACTTCCTGTCTCTCTTTCCACTTGAATATTTCGACCTCTTTGCAAAGAACCAAGGACAGCTGAAAAAATAACAGGGAAGAACCTATGATAATTAGGCAAAAAATAGAGATCATAAAGGAACCTTTCAATGAAAATATGAAAAGAAGTTATTCTATAACCGTTTCCTGTTGTGGTCATGCCATCATATGAACTTCTAATAAACTTGCAAGAAAATACAGGTAATCTAACTGTGATTGTACATGTATTTGGCTTATTTTTTTTCTCAAATTTATAAACTGAATTGAACAGTAGGCATAAATGCCTATGATAGTTCTCACCATGATTATACATGTATTTGCGTGTGACCTTTACACCGTTTTGGACGCAACATGTACATCTATAATACATGTATGTACTATTTCATATAGTAGTCTCGGTTTAATTCTAGTGAAAGCTGATGGCCATGATCAATTGTTCAATTCAAACGGATCATTTGTCCATTTAGTCTTAAAAATGCTAACGAAGTAATAGTTAAACAATTTTATTTATTTTTTCATTCATTCGATGAAAAAAGGCATAAAGTAAAATTAAGTTAATTAAAGATCAGATTAACTCAAGTTTTTTTTTTTAGGCTTTCATCAATTTTCAGACAGGTTATGCATGTAATATCATGTAATTCTATGCTACATTATTGTATCTGTATAAGAAGTGAATCTGAGATTTTTTTTACGTGATCTGAGTTTTTAAACACTGTTATTCTTTCTTTTATACAGAAGCATCAACATCTCCTATTCACAAACTCTTCTATATTCCT